TATTTCTTGATCTGCTATGTATAATTTGTCAGTAGGTTGTAGGAGTAATATGGTTCCTCTGGTTTTCAAAACTAGCTAGGCATTATTTATCTCTCACATTGTCTCACCCCTCCATCATGGTTTTCCCACTTAACGTGACCCCCTTTCCCCCCTTTCTCCCTTACTAATACCCTTCTCCTACGGTCCTACCTCTCTTGAGCTCTTTCTTTCCCTTTATCCCCTAGGTTCCTTGTATACCCTTCCCTCCCCCATCCCTTAAACTAACCCAATTTTTATTCATATCTCCCTTATTAAGGCCTGTTTCCTACTGTTCTTCTCTTTCAGGTTCTTCCTTGGAAAGGAGCCAGGGAGACAAGGGAAAAGAAAAATAAAACCCCTTTTATGAGTAAAGAAGAACAGTCTTTCCTATCACATCCCAATAAATTTTTACCTCTATCTTAAAAGCTAGTGTGTATAGATAGGACTGTCCAGCTTAAGAAAAGAAAAATAAAAAGCAAATATTTCAATTTTCCAGCCTCTCTAATGTAATAGGAATGGGAATTAAGTTAGCCAGTCAACTATAGCTCTACCAGAGATTGGATCCTAATCTTATTTTTGAAGTTGTTTAGTTCAACTCCTGAATTTTACAGAAGAGATACAGTATCAACTTATAATTCATTTGTATGTCTGACATCCATTTCTCCACTCTGAGTAGACACGCACACACACACACACACACACACACACACTTTATCTCTGGAAGATAAAGCTAACTTCCACAGAAGTCAAAGAAGTAAAACTATCTTTTATACCTCGGCACAAGCATTAGGTGCATGCCTAGGACTTAGGATCTTAACTCTTGAAAAAGGAATACAAGGACATAAAAGTCATTCATCATAAGTGACAGAAGCAGTGTGATGCTCAAACTCCCTGCTGTGAGAATGTAATGTGGTCCTTGGGGTCTGGCCCTGCAGGTTCCCTTGGTTCCTGTTCATTTAGAGGTGCCCACTGATCCTGTGGGCCTCTGCTACAGTACTCACATGCAGACCACTAGTGTCTTCCATAGTATCTTATATTCTCTTCTTTGGGGATAGAACTCCACTTTATTTAACTAACTTTTTTAAAAAGTCAAGATCAGAGGGCTGGAGAGAGGGCTCAGCAATTAAGAGCATTGACTGCTCTTGCAGAGAACCTGGGTTTGAATACCAGTACACACATGGCAGCTAACAATCATCCATAACTTTAGTTCCAGGGGATCCAACACCCTCTTCTGACCTCTATGGGCTTTACACAACATGAGTACACTCACATGCATATACAGAGTGCACTTATACAAATAAATTAAAAATAATAAAATATTTTTAAATAAAAAGCTAAAATCAGTCTTCATAGTGGAATAAGACCATTCCTCATTCTCTCTTGCAACAGGATGTGGCTATATGTCCAAGTGGTAGAAAACAGGATGACAGCACATATGTAGTATGAACCCTCTAGGAAAGTAAAATTTCTTCTCATTGGATTACAAACATTATGTCTGGAGCTTGCATAGCTACCTTAGACCATTAGGTAGATTTCCTGTGAAATTATATGCATATTATTTTTGTAACTTGCATATTATTTTTATTATATGGTGTTTGTTTTAAGAATATATACAAATATATGTCATTACATTAATAAAATGACAAAATCATTTATTGTTCAGCATTAATGGACAGTTTTGTTCTGGATACAATGCATGCATAGGAGTAATTTCATATACATATAATTGAACAAAATAATACTTCTCTTTACTACATGTAACAAACTGACCCTATTTTTTAAGACTGGGTACCACCAAGTAAATTAATTTCATGGCCCATTAAATGGATTGCAACTCATACCATGAAAATTTATTAGACTCAAATAATCACTATGCAGACTATTACGGGAAGTCAACAAGAAGGAATCTAAGAATTTTGACACCATGGTTAAAAGCTTGAGTGACATATGTTCCAATATAGCCAAGACAATTCCAGTTACATTTGTTACACTGCTGCAATTTTAATAGCATCCACTTTTTCTAAAGTGTCCATTAGAACTAGACATTAAATGAAACAGTCACACTATTAATAGCTATTGTGATCTTCTGGAACATTTCTGCTAAAGATAACTATATTGAAACCTTTGAGATCAGAGGCAGGATCTGCTTAGAATACCCAGCAGGTGCTCAGACGTGAGACCTTGAAGGTACTGAAAAACTCCTACTTCTGTTTCAGAAGTATCCTCTACTGGGCCAGAAATATCTGTTTAACTCCTCCATTCCAAGTACCCAAATCCTCTTTAGGTCCAGCTATAAAATCACCTCCTGCCTCTTTCCTCTACCCTCCTCTCGTCTTCTCTCCTCTCCACTCTCCTCTCCTCTCATCTCTTCTCTCTCTCTCTCTCTCTCTCTCTCCTCTCTCTCTCTCTCTCTCTCTCTCTCTCTCTCTCTCTCTCCTAGACAGGCATTTCTAATAATCCAGAAATTAAAAACTTTTGCAAAAGTGGAAAACAATGCCACTTTCTTGCTTTTTTTGTTTTAGAAGTTATTTTTATGAGAAATGTATACCTTATGTTAACACATTTATTATTTTCAAAGGAATTAATATTTTGTAGATTCTCAATTTAATTTCTCTTACCCCATGTCTAAGATTTACTGCTGATAGATACAATTCACCTGAAGGAAGGGCTTTCAAAGCACCAAAATTTTTTAATTTTTTAGATATTTATTTTTATTTTATGTGTATGAGTGTTTGCCTGCATGTAGGTTGGTGCACCCATGTCATGCAGTGCCTGAGGAGGTGAGAAGAGGGCATTGGATCCCCTGGAACCCATGTGGATGCTGAGAATGGAACCTGGGTCCTCTGTAAGAGCAGCCAGTGCTCTTAACCTCTGAGACATCTCTCCAGTCCAAAGCACCAATATTTAAGTTATTATAATGGAGTCCTGAGGCCAAAAAGGTATAAGATAGGGTCACTATCTTAAGACAAATATGGGACCAAGAAGTAGTGAAGTGTGTCACCCCCAACCCCCTCATCCTCTCTCACCTCTTATCCTGTCTCCCGCCTCTCTCCCCAGCCCCATGCCTCTGGCTGCAGCAAAGCAACAAAGCTCTGTAGGGAGGGAAGGCTTGTAGCAAAACATTTCTGCCAGATCTAAAAAGTATTAACATGCCGGGTGTGGTGGTACAGGCCTTTAATCCCAGCACTTGGGAGGCAGAGGCAGGCAGATCTTTGTGAGTTCAAGGCCAGCCTGGTCTACATAGTGAGTTCCAGGACAGCTGGGGCTACAGGGAGACCCTGTCTCAAAAAGACCAAAAAATAAATAAATAAAAAAGTAGTCACAACAGGCGTTCAGTGCAACTGAGCCAGGAGAATGCTGGCCAAACCAGGAGAGACTTATCCACAAGGTACAGGAACACAGGTTCAAAGCCCCAGAGCACAGAGGTTGCAATGCCACCCAAATGCATCGCTATAATTGATTTCATGAGCCATGCACATGCATCCACATTCCCAGGGCACCACAAAGACAGACTCAGATAAGCTATCTAACAACCTAAACATCTTTATATAAGAGAAATTAAGCATTTCCCACAGAAATCAATTATAGATTGAACTGAATTTTAAAACCAATCAGCCATTGAGGGCTTTCTTCCATCTGAACAGTCAATGACTGTTCTCTGAAGAAACTAGTTTTAGACAAAAATAAATATTTTTCTTTGCTTGTACAAGTAATAATGAAACACGTTTCATAGAAAATACAAGCAATAGAGGGGGAAGAGGGAAGACTTTCTATTACTTGAATTCTGAAATGAGAATACAACCGACTTTCGCTCACTAAATGATTGTGGGAGATCTAGAAACTTCTCAGCTGCACAGTCTGAACACTTTTGAGGCTGCTAAGGTGCCGATAATAGAAAAATCCCACAGACTTGAACCCCGACCCTCGATCTAATGAGCAAGGGAAGTGAGATAAAGGATAGGGCTGTAGGCAAACCTTGCTGTGACAGTAAAGAGAATGGGCATCAACATCAGGATAGGAGGTCTCAGAAAGGCTTCCCTGCAGAAGTGACACCAGTAACAGAGTAGATGGAGCATCTATGGTGATGAGAATGGAATCCTGTAAACAAAGAGCAAGGAGGCACACGAGGCTGCCTGAAGTTGCGATAGAGTAGATTCCGACGGACCTTTTAGACAACTGAACTATTTTCAATAATAATTAATAATAATAACAATAACAACAACAATAAATGTCTCTTAAAGATTTTAAGTTCCAGCTCAAAGAAAGGCTCCATTCCCCACCCCTCAAAGTCAGCTCTGATCACCCAGGGTTCAACAAAGAGTAAGGCCTGGGTACCCGCACAGTGTCAGCCTTGCTTCGCGAAACAGGTCACGCGGAAGGAGCACGATGGCTCCCCCGGGGACTCCCGCAGGCGTTCGCCGGAATCCCAGGGGACATTCGGCACTACCCTCCAGCAGCGACCAGATGTGCAAAGCCCGCGAGAGACGATGCCGGAGTCACTCCAGCAGCCCTATCCCGACAGCCTGGAGGGTAGATGCGGGTCTATCCCGCCTCATTCCACCCAGAGAGCCCACCCAGGCCCTCGGAGCCTGGACACCAACTCACCCGTTCGCCTGGCCTTGGCTTCCGCAGTTACCATGGCGACGGCGCACAGAGCGCCGCAGCGCCTCACCCTGCGCAGCTCTTCCTGGCACCACGCGAAGGTAAAGGTTGCTAAAGTGCCGGTAGTTAGAGGGGAGAAATGAAGAGAAATTCATCCAAACGACGAAAGTCACGGTGTTCTGACGGTGGCGTGCATGTATTTTTCTTACTTTGTAAATTCTTCTGTAATGTGGCCTATATTTTACAGGTTCAAAAACTACAAAGCTAGGATAGAAGCGCTCTTTAGTGGCCAGTTTTAGTCTCCTCTTTAAGTTTTAAATGGAAATCCTTCCAGGAACTACGAGGGTGAATCGTAAAAATAATGCAACTGAACAGCTTGCTTAATTTTCTAGTGATTGGGAAACTTCTATGGTTAAAGTTATTGTCACCTACAAAGACAGTTTCCTGACCACAAAGAAGGCCAACTAGGTATAAACAGAAGGAACAGGAACTCGGAATTTACATAAAGTCTTCTTGATTCTGAAAGTTAAATCCAAAATACAAGTTTGGGGGAGAGAGAAATCAAGAGAACCAGAGAAAGAAACCAGTAGAGAAGAGTCAAGCTTCTGCGGTGACTTATTTAGATGTTCATGTGGACGGCAGAGAGAAAACCAGGAAACCTTTGTTCTGAAGGCAAGTCTAGAGGGAAGTATCATTTCTTCCCTAGTTCTACAACGAAATCAGTAAAGAAGAGGCAATATTTTAGAAGGGCTCAACATTTGAGTTGAAGATGAATACTTGTTTCAAGTTGGGTGTGGTGGCCCACGCCTTTAATTTCAAGCTTCTGCGGTGACTTATTTAGATGTTCATGTGGACGGCAGAGAGAAAACCAGGAAACCTTTGTTCTGAAGGCAAGTCTAGAGGGAAGTATCATTTCTTCCCTAGTTCTACAACGAAATCAGTAAAGAAGAGGCAATATTTTAGAAGGGCTCAACATTTGAGTTGAAGATGAATACTTGTTTCAAGTTGGGTGTGGTGGCCCACGCCTTTAATTCCAGCAGAAGCAGGTTTATGGATCTCTGTGAGACTGAGGCCAGCCTGGTCCACTTAGTGAGTTCCAGGCCAGCTGCGGCTACAGACAGACCCTGTCTCAAAAAGAAAAAAAAAATTGACTTAAGGCCCAAGCAAAATAACAACCATTCTGATCTGAAGTTCTTTAATGTAAGCAGAAATCTGAATTTTTAAATGTAATTATTGTTAAATTTTTCTTATTCAGCTAAGTTGTAGTGGTCAAAAACTTAGAATTTGACATTGCAGACAGGGACACAAACTAGAATTTCTGTCAGCTGCAAGCTTGCCCCTGCAGTCACCACACAGCTGGTTTGCTCTACTGGGTGTTCATTTCCTGCAAAAGCTGGTGATGAGCAAGATACACCCTAGGGGGTCTGGAAGAGATGGCTCAGCAGTTAGGTGCACAAGCTGCTCTTTCAGAGGACGGAGTTCAGTTCCCAACACCCACATGGAGGCTAACAGCCATCAGTAACTCTAATTCCAGGGGATCCGATCCCCTCTTCTGACCTCTGTGAGCACTGCATGACACAGGTATACTTTACATACATGCAGGCAATACACTTATAAAATAAAAATAACAAATAAAATATTTTTAAAGGCATACCCTAGGTATTAACACATCGTATTTAATATGTTCTTTCATTGTACTCTTTGCTTTGGGGGCCTTCTAGTTTATAATATGGGGACAGAAGATGACTTATTATAAGACATAATTGCACATGATTTTACTTTTAATTAATCTTTATAGGATGTAAAGAATTTCCAAATATAGAGCTGAGCATGGTGGGACATGTCTTTGATCCCATCACTTGGTGCGGGGGCAAGTAGATCTCTGCAAGATTGAGGCCAGACTGGTCTAAATAAAGAGTTCCTGACTAGCTGTAGCTACAGGAAGACCCTGTCTTAAAAATAAACAAAAAAAGAATTTCCAAATATAAATGTTTCTTGAAAGTCTTAAAATGGGATTAAATAAATAAAAATTAGAGTTTTCACTGTTGTTCGTTTTGGGGTTTTTGTTTTGGCTTAGTTTGGGTTGGAGGTTTTGGTTTTTTTGTTTTGTTCTTTTGCATTTTTAACATTTTATTATTTTTATTTTAAGCGTATGCGTGTATTGCCTGCATGTATGGAAGTGCACCAGTGTCGTGCAATGCCCGAGGAGGTCAGAAGAAGGCGTCGGATTCCTTAGAACTGGAGTTACGGACAGTTATTAGCTGCCACGTGGGTGCTGGGATTCGAGCCTGAGTCTTCTGCAAGGAAATTATTCTTAACCACTGAGCCATCTCTCCAGCCCCTCTTTTGCATTTTTATTGGGGGGCACACACATGCCACATCACTCATGTAATGGTTATCGGATACCTTGAGGGATCTGTTTTCTCTTTCCACCATGTGGGTCTCAGGAATGGAATTAAGGCTTGGCAGGAAGCACAGATGAGCCACTCACCAGACCTGATTTGGTTGTTTGAAACAGGGTCTTGTTTCATAGCCCAGGCTATGACTAGAATTCACTATGTAGCCTAGGCTGGTCTCAAACTGGCAGCAATCCTCCTGCCTTGGTCTCCTGTGATTACGGAAGTGT